GCCTTAACGGTTTTAATTTTTCTAAATTATTTTAGTATAGTGCAACTCTGAAGCTCAGCACAGATTATAAAAATTCCCATTCAATTCTAAACCGGGGAAAAATGTTTTATTTAAATGAAGATGTTAAATTAAAATAAGTCCAAGTCATGTAATTGTTTAATGGTTTTGATTGTCTATCTGCTCTGCTCTGTCATTTCTATTTTTCTCCTCCCGGCCCCCTTCATTCTGCCCACATCTGTAGGGCATTACCCATAGTGTAACCAATACTCCAGCTGTGGCTGCCCTGCTGCTATAGAGACAGGACCTATCAGCGCTACAACAGGAACCATCTGTGCGTATGACCCAAAATCACTCTGGGTTTTTTTTTTGGTTTTTTTTTTGTTTTTTTTTGTTTTTTTTTAAACCACCATACTGCTGTGCTTGTGCTCTCCACTTTAGTTCAGACAGCCGGGTACAACTGCTCCAAATTCTCCTCCGCATGCACCAGAAACAGAGGATTTCCTCCCAAAACGCAGCTAGAGGACGCATGCCAATACCTACCGCTCTCTCCCTGCCCTGCGGACTGTGCAGCCAATGCCCTGAGGGGTGCAGGGTGGGCATGGGAGCACCACCCGACTCCCGGAGGAATCCATTCTTCATCGGCCTTCTTGCTCCTAACCTCCACCCTCAAACCTTTGCCTATAAACTTCTTGTATGTTTGTATTTCTGTGAGAAGCAAAGGTCCCGGGGACAGAGGCTGCGCTGTGTAAGCGCCGTATGTGATCTTTGGCTGGCCGCACAACGCTCCCCATTCACAACCATTCACAAACTGGGACGGAGAGCAGCTCGCCTCGCTTCCCGATGTATTTTAGACATCAGATAAAAGGGAGCCTGAGATTATGCTTCGGGGTCCCGCAGTGGGGACCTGCACAGCTTCCTAACACACAGCTTGTCCCTATCCTATGCCCCCCTGCCACTGGGCTGCAATACTTTCCTGGATTTCAAGCATAAATCCCTACTCCCTCTGCAGCCGGAGCCCGGGCACACTCTGCCTGGCATTTGTCTGGCCAGGGAACACGCCGGCATCTACATCTATGCTTGGAGTTTCATAAGCAAAGTACAGCACCAACATGATAGTACCAGCGCTACAGCACGTAACATCCCCTGCAGTCCTGTTTGCATCTGCTCGGTCCACACTCCAGTCAAAACCATTACCAGGCTCGCCTGGTGGTACTTGGCAGCCCATGCCCTCTCTTGCCCGTTGGCCATGCTTTCCGTGTGGCAGATTCCTTCTTCACACTTGTTCCCTAGATTTCATGCTGGAATGGGGTTTAGTGCACCCGATGGGAGCTGCCAGCATGACTCTTCCCTAGATCAGCTCCGCGTTTTGGCAATAGCTAGCAGTACGGTGTATTCCCATCACCCGGCACCTCCTCTGCCAGTCTGACTGACACTGCAGATCAAACCTGCTGCTTGTGTATCGCCAGCAAGGGCTGAGCTGCTCTTACCCTGTCCTGCTCACCCTCCTTCTATCTCTGCTTTTCCCACTTACTCCTTTTCCCCACTTTTAGAAGTGGTGTTCTTCAAAAGGGTATTTTTTTAAACACAGGTCTGCTGCCTGAACCACTTTTTCTCCAGCAAACAGTTTCAAGATGGAAACAACCTATTTTAACCATTCAGTTATCCTTATTCAAACCCTTCTCCCTGCCCTCCAGGTAGTTTGTTTCTTCCCCACTCCCTTCCTGTCATCCCCATCATGTCCCACTATTGGTTCCCAGTCTGACTGAGTCCCTCACTGCCTACTGAAGTTTCCCCTTCCATGAGCCCTGCTCCAAAGCCAGCACTGGCCAGGATCTGGCTCTCAGAGGAGGCTGCCTGCCTGGGGGGACACTGATGGGGCGAAGGCCACCTGCCTGGGGGACACTGATGGGGCGCAGGGCTGCCAGGATGAGAATGGAGTATGACCACTCTGGAATCTGCCTCAGGGTCGTCCCAGCGGGAAGGAGAGATGGTGGCTGAAATCTGTCACGTCTTATTTTTGTGGTAGCGGAGTTTTGGAGTTCCTGGCAAGACACCAACCTTGCTAATTTTACTGCAGGTCGAGTTGCGGCCCGACTCCGCTCTCCTCTGAGGGCCGTTGCCCCCCTGGAGGCAATGGATCTTGCAGGGCACTGGGTCAGGGCACTCGGCCCCAATCTCAAAGCACCTAAACCAGCCCCTTTCCCGCAGCCTCCGGGCAGTGTAAAGACCCGAGGCTACCCGAAAATCCTGGAGGCTGGGAAAGGGCTCTGCCCCTCAGCGAGTGAAGAAACAGCGCAGAAGAGGAGAGGCACGACACCCTGCCTTCTCCCCGCTGCTGCTTTTCCAGCCGGGGCTGCGGGCAGCCCGGCCGCGGGGACACGTGTCGGATGCTGCTGCCTTCGGAGATGCACGGCAAGACTCCGAGGGAGCCCAGGGAGCGCCCAGGCGGCCGTCTGCCCTCCTCGGCCTTCCCGGGCACGGGTGCGGAGGCTGAGGAGGGCTCACCCCAGCACCCCGGCGGCTCCCCGGAGAGTTGTCAGAAAGACGAAGCCGAGGATGAGCAGGACTTTCCCTCTGATCAGAGGCATCTCTCCCTCCCTCTCGCCCCACCTCGCACGCCCCGGGCAGGCGGCCCGGCAGCACGCCCGCCCGCAACGCTACAGAACCCGTCCTTCCTCCAGAAAGCGAGGAGCAGGGGAAATTTTAAAAAAAGAGCAACATAGAAAATATCGCAGAGGGGAAGGGCAGCGCCGCGGGCGCGGGCAGGGG